GATACTATGAAATCTATACCTTTATTTAAGCAATTTATAAAACGTATGGTATTACGAGAAGCAACTATTCGGCGAACCAACGCCTCGACCACCGTTAAATTATAAATAAATAAAATAAATAGGACCATTCGCTAGTCAAACCACCAGACATATACTGGTTTCGAAGTGATTAGTTTTACTATATTGCGGGTATAATAATGATGTTCAGAGCATTATTCTCTATAGTAGTTCTTTCTCGCAATGTCAGCTTAAACATTATTTTTTGTGTAAATGTAAGTAATCCAAATGCTCTCTTTACTATGTTTATGTTTTACCATAATTTTCAAAAGGAAATGTTATATCTGAGAATATCTTCAATGAAAAAAAAGATCCTAATTAAGCCAGTGGCGTAAATATGAAGTCTCTGGTTATATTTTTCTCAAAAGTAATGATAATTGATAACCAGTGAAGAAATAATATTTTTTATCACTTTTGAAGTGTACCTTTTATTTTGAATCAAAATTATTTTTTTTACATACTTTTTGCCGTTTTGGTAGATACAAATTTGTAAAAACGATGTTTTAATGTTGAAATAAAAGAGAAACAACATATTAAAAATGAAGCAGCATTTTCTTCTTCCAAATTTAATAATTTTTTCCATTGACCCTTACGACCTAGTTTCTGAGAAGCTGTTACAATTTAAAAAAAAAATAGGGTATGAGCAGATCAGTTAAACACTTATAAATTGCACAAGCACACAAAAAAAATTTCATTAACCAGCGGGTAGACCCTACTATACCTAGGTTTTTGGGGTCGCTGAAACCGAATATGACCATAAAAAATTATTTCAATTGCCCGTTTTCCCGCTAACACCCCCTGAAGGTGGTTAAATTTTAAATTTTCGTACAATATTAAAATGTATGCGTATTTTTTGTTTTTTTGGGACGCTGAAACCGAAAATGACTATAAAAAATTAATTAATTTAACCCTTCTCTTATCCGCTAACACCCCCTTACCATCTCCTGAAGGAAGTTGAATTTTAAACCTTTATACAAAATTAAGATGTATGTTTATTTTTTTTTTGGGACGTTAAAACCGAATTATGATTTTTGTAATAATCATAACCGTGTTTATTATGCCTTTTGATATTTTGAACTTGACACCTTATTCTAGACAAGATATATTTTTTTTCCTTTTGCATTTTGTTTTCTATTCGATTTTAATGTTTTTACTCTTCACCGACCAGTTTTATTTACGTTTAAGAGATGAATCTAATTTTATGCCTCCGGAATAGAATTGATTCCGTATCTACTTTTGCGACTAAAGGCGGGTATCCACTTGTGGCAATGCTCCGTAACGTAACAACGAACATGTTACGGCCCGTTGCAAAAGGTGACATGGTTCGCTGTGAAAGTATATGTGGTTTTGGTAGAATTATTCATTCCGCAACGTAACAAAATAAGGTTACGAGACGACACAGGAACATAAACTCGCAGTATGAACCTGACTGCAATAATGGATTGACGGCATTTGCAGTTAGCAACAGCGTCATATATTATTATTCATCATACAATTTTGAAGAATAAGAAACGGAAATCTCCGGAAATCTTTTCTTTATTCCACTCCATGGCACAAACACAGAAAAACACACTCATCCTAGTCACTACATAAAACAGACTGACCCCAGACCATATGCAAAAGACTGACGAAACAAAAAATAAGACAAAATCATATGTGCAACAGGCAACGTTACGGCCAAAAGCGTAACCCCGTCTCAACATGTGGCAGAAAGTACTGTTGCATCCCTTTGATGCGACGACTAAAAACCGACAACTAATGGTTCCTCCCGGATTAGTTACGCGTGTCAAATTTGTTACACGTACCATGCAACCATTTGACACAAATGGATACCCGCCTTAAGACATCTCACGCGGTGAAAACGGATAACAGTTTAACTGGCTTAGAAGATCGTTTGAAAGGAAGAGAGTTCGGTATCATAGAAAGAGGTAAATGCCGAATCGTGAGAGGCAAGGGGACTCATTTTACTCAAGCACCCCGAACCGTGAGAGGCAAGGGGACTCACGTTAATCAAGCACCCCAAATTGTGAGAGGCAAGGGGATTCACGTTAATCAAGCACCCCAAAAGGAACAGAAACCTACCACCTCCAGGCCGTTGTTCCTGGGTTGCGCTAAGAGTTGAACCAAATCATAAATACATTTGATATTTCTGATCGGTGAAGTATCGACGTTTACAACACAGGGGCTGGAGGTACTCTTAACTTGTCTAATTAACAGGTAATTGACTTTGGATCGTTGGAATTTTGAACGTCGAGCCCATGAAAACTTTGGTTCTCCTCTTTTTTCCGAAAACGTTAGCGCAATTTACCGAGAGCCAACTTTCATATAGATCATGCTGGTTCTTTCGTAAGGGAGTGTAAGAGGGTAATCGAGTAAGTGAATATCATTTTTTGTAGTCATTTTCGATTTCAGCGTCCCAAAAAACATAGAAATACGCATACATCTTAATTTTGTACGAAAATTTAAAATTTAACCTCCTTCAGGGGGTGCTAGCGGGAAAACGGACAAGTGGAATCATTTTTTGTGATCATATTTGGTTTCAGCGACTCCAAAAACCTAAGAATAGTGGGGTCTGCCCTCTGGTTCATGAAATTTTTTTGTGTGCCTGTGTTGTTAATCGGCACCAAAACATTAAAAATTATGCAAATCGTTTTCGTTCAAAATTAAATTTACATTTCAAAAATTACTAACATTTTTTCCAGTGGCACACCGTAAATTTAGAGGCAAATGTAATTAATTTGCATAAGTATTTCATATCTACGCACAGGTTTGAGACTTAATTTATTCACGTTGAATGGCATTTAATTTAATTTAATTTGATTTATTTATTTAATTTAATTCATCCAATGGGATGAGAACCCTTTTACAGGATGAATAAAAACAGAAAATATGTAACATAAGAGTAGCATAATTTCTATTAATTAGCAAAATGGTATAAAGACAATAAAAACGGAATAGAAATAGTTAAAAAACAACGGCAAAACAATATAAGATAATTAACAATATTATAACTGTTTAGGCATTCTTAAAGGGGTAATATTGGTTGCCTACAATTAAAGGAAAATAAATACATACCTATCTCCATATCGATATCAGTAAATAGGTAAAAAAGGCAGTCTCGCATCGAAGAACACACGCGATGCCTAGTTTTATCTAGTTTTGAAATAATTTGATTTATTGTTGTTGATTGTTATTAAGAACTCATCCCATTTTCCCTCCCCTATCCTATTGAGTTCTCCAGTGATGGACCAGAACCCCGTTTTGCCGAAAGGTGAGTACATTAATAACTTTTTGTTGTTGTTAGTCCTTAATTTTTTATACAGTCCGCTATTCGCTGATTCAATAACAACATTATAAAATAAAGACAAAAATGAGTTATAAAATACAGATTTTAAAATGTATAAGCACGCTTTATATCTGCAAGCGTACAGTTAAATATATCCAGCCGTTCTTCAATGTTACAGTAATTTCTTAGCATCATATACAAGGGAGACCACTGCAAAATATTAGTACGGGAGTAGGAAACAACAAATAAATTATTAGATCTAGCGTTGGCTCTAGGAACTCTGTAGCTAACAACAGAGGTAAGCATAATGCAATCCATACCATTGTTAACAAGCTTGTATAGGAAAATTATAGAATTCATAATCCTCTATCTAATTAGACTGCTCATCTCAAATCGTTTCAATAATAAGTCTTGTGAATACCCTCTGGTTGGATAAATCCCATCCAATATGAAACTTGCGGATTTAAAGAACCTTCGCTGTACTTTCCCTAACGCCGTTATATGACAATTATAACTTGAAGACTAAATTACAGAGCCGTACTCCAATTTAGGCCTAACAAAGCTATTAAATAATACTCGTAATGTAGATATGTTTTTAAAATCTCTACTGTTACGTAGTATGAACCCCAGATTATCATACGCTCCAGCTATGCATTCTTCCATATGTTTATTGAATGTTAATTTGATGTCGAGATCTTTAACAAATTCAGGCCGATTAAGTATTCGGAGTTAATATCTACATAGAGCTTGAGGTCATCAGCGTACAAGAAGAAGTGAACATTTAGATCTTGGGCGATATCATTAATATACAAAATAAAAAGCAAAAGTCCAAGTATGGAGCCTTGTGGCACACCAGATATTTGATTGATGAACACAGAGCTGTGACCACAGTACCGTACAAACTGAACAAGGTGGGAAATATATTTTAGCAACTGGAGAAAGGATCTACTGACACCGCAAGCTTCAAGTTTACACAAGTTTACCGTGATCAAGCCCGTCAAATGCCTTAGAGAAGTCAGTATAGATGACGTCCACCTGACCCCTCCTATTCAGCGTTTCGGCAATAAACTGAGTGCTACATACAAGGTTCGACACTGTGGATCTGCCCTTCATGAATCCATGTAGTTCGGGAATTATCAGGTTCTTTGTTTAAAAGGAAAGGTGTTCATGAATTAATATTTCAAATATTTTAGAGAAGTTGCATAAAATGGCAATAGGTCGGTAATTCTCAATATCATTCTTATTTCCTTTCTTAAAAACAGGACATACTCGGGATTGCTTCCATAAGTCAAGAAAGGTATTGTGCTTAAGAATAAGGTTGAATATTTTTAAAAGTGGTTTACAAAAGACGGTTTATTCACGTATTGCGCACTTCACTTCAATATCTGCATTTGTTCAAAAGATATTTAGAGAAATAATACTTTTCCGAAGACTAATATTCTGTATTTCGGTAGTGTTTAAAAAACAAGTTTATATAAAGTGCCATTATATTTACTTACTCTATGAAGGTCTGAATTTTCGTGGTTAAAATTCAGGGTTTAACTTTAGTTAAACTTCCCTATTAAAATGCATTATACATTTTCCAAACTATTTGCAATTTAAATAAACCAGCTGCAACCAATATTAAGATAGTAATAACGACAAATAAAAATTAAAGTACATATTATATACGAATATATTTGAAAAATATAATTACATTCACCAAAGTTTAATTCGAATAATCATACAAAAAGATCTTAGTGTTGCGGAATGGAATTTTCTTATATTATTGTTATTAACAACTCGCCCATCTATTTCCTAATGCAGACCTACATTTAGAATATGAAAGAAAGTTGAACACATTTCAATGATTAATAAGAGTACATAGTTAGTATTATATCACATTTTGCTCTCTTGCATAAAAGTTGAAACAAACAGAAATTTTCCATTACAAAATACGCCCAGATTATTTTTTGTTATTTACATTTTGCTCTCATGCATGAAAGTTTAAACAAACAGAAATTTTCCATTACAAAATACGTCTAGATTATTTTTTGTTATTCACAATTAACATTCCTCCCAATGTTAGTAACATATTGTAAACATTATAGTTTTGTATACCAGATGATATATTTTGGTGATGCATGTATTAGGAACTCGGAAACTATAAGAGGTAGAAAAACGGTTAAATGGCGTACGATACCATTTTGCTACTATCGGGTTTGGATATATTTTGGAAAAATATGTAAAAATTATTATAGTAATTTTAAGAATCTCAACTTTTTTTCTTGGTACATTTGAATTTGTTTGTACATACGATACACCTTTGGAAAGCTTAATAAAATTGCTGTTCAACGTGCATGAAACAATAATGCACATGAAATTGTTTGCAAGTTGCAGTTGCGGGCATACAGCTTGTAGGAATAAAAAAGTTACAATCCCTCTCTTTAAATATCTTTTATATTTTCCGTGACGCATCTTTTGACATATTTTGTGAAATATGATAAGATAACTAATGTGGTAACTTTTTCTTTCTGTCTTTCAAATTCATCACACATTGAAAAATATGAGTCATGCTTCAATCCAGCAACCTTTTCAAACGTGACGTAACAAAGAGAAAACCACTTCACAGCCTTGTAATTTCTAGTGTATTCGAAATTACTAAACCTCCAAGTGACAAGGTAATGCAGGCACAAACAGAACTTCCTCATATAAAAATAAGAAAATCATTCGGTCACTATGAAATCCTCGGTTTTATTGTTATCAGCCGGTTCATCTCTGTAACCTAAGGATTCCAGTTCCCAGCGGATTTTCTCGTTAGTTTCGAAATAATTCACCCAGTCGTTGTAGCTGTAGTCCGGATGTATCCCGCCGTACCTCTCTGGCAAGTGTTTGGGGTCAATGTGTTGATGGAGACTATCCATGTCTTCCCCGTGGAAGAATATCCTCGACTTCATCCGCTCGTCCAGGAACGGTTTGAAGCAGTTGTAAATGATGTCAAAAATCCAGGACTGGTTCACTATGTGCAGGGCGTGGATCTTCATTGGGAACGAGGTCTGAAACAAGTTCAAATTAATATTTCTTCAATAAAAATATGACCAATTTAAATTTTAATGAAGATATTGCCCTATGAAGTAAATTTCCAGAGAAAATGTATCCATCTGTAATTTTTATTTTTTAAATATTGGGAAAGTTACAAAATGAAATTACGTACACTTTTATCTACTATCCAAAAGGAAATACAAGCTTTTATTACAGTATAAATATATTAGACCGAACGAGAATAAATTTAAAGAAACTTTTATTAGGAACGAAGAACCATAAAACATCATAATATACAGGGTGTGGCGTGTAAAATCTATAAAAATTAAACTACAGCTTCCTGATGATATTTGTAATAAAAAACTATATACGAAAAAAAATTTTAAATTTTTAAAAGAAGATTAGGTTACATTGTTAGAAAATTTGTGCAGTCAACTGACTTTGTATCTGTATTGAATTCATTATTCACTTAATTATTAAATATTACGCATCGTCCATCGACCCATTAGTGTTAAAAAGTAAAAGATTCCAGTCAAAAGTTTTTATTTTGTAATGCCACGATAGTGGCAGTGTAATTTTTATAAAGAAGTAAAAAATAAGATTTGCGTGCCGATTACATTAAAAACGAGATTCTTATTTCTTACTTTACTTAATTTTTTAGTTTGTGCACAAACTAGTTTTACAATGAACCGAGAAAACAATGCATTTACTATTACTGAAAGTGTCGATATGGTGCAATCGAAGAAAATGCGCTCGCGGCGACTAGATTGTACCGTGAACGATGGCCACGTCACCCCCCCATATGCAAATACAATCCTACAGTGCGTTCAGCGGCTGCGAGATTCGGGAAGTATTCCTCGAGGAGAAGGACGTGGTCAGAAAGTGAACCTTAATGTTGAAGATGCATTGTTGTAAAATCTTGACGAAGACCCCACAATTAGTACTCGGCGACTCGCACAGCAAGTAGGAACCTCAACTCGTACTGTACATCGCATCTTAAGGCGCCAACTGTTGTACCCCTATCATCCAGTTCAACAGATTTTATCCCTGAATTGTGATCAACGAATGCGTTTTTGCAGATGGTTTTTACGGCAATGTGCCAATCAAGTAGACTTTCCTGCTTATGTTTGTGTAACAGATGAGGCAACATTTAACCGCGATGAAGTGAATTTATATAATATGCACATATGGGCCGATGAAAATCCTTACGTGGTTAGGGAAACTCATTTTCGACATCGGTTCTCGATAAATGTTTGGGCTGGCATAATAGGCGATGTAATTGTGGGTCCCTATTTCTTTGAAGGACGACTAAATGGACCAACATATGCCGACTTTTTGGAGAACCGACTGCCTGAATTATTGGACGATGTGGCATTACAAATTCGGGCACGCATGTTTTATCTTCAAGATGGGGCTCCTCCACACAGTACTCGAGAAGTAACGACACTTTTGAATGAAATGTTTCCTCAGCGATGGATTGGACGCTTTGGTCCTGTGCCGTGGCCATCTCGGTCACCCGATCTAACTCCAATGGACTGTTTTTCTTTCGAGTCACTTGAAGTAATTGGTTTACAATACTCCAATTGTTACGGTGGAAGAATTGCGAAAAAATATACTTGAAGCTGCTGACACATTTACGGGAATACCTGGAATTTGGGAAAATATTCGCCAAAATTGGGTGAGTCGGTGCCATGCCTGTATCCGCGCTAATGGGGATCAATTTCAACATTCTCTCTAGAAATGGTAAGTTTTATTTCAGTTTGTTCCATATTTTAATAGAGTTTGTTTAGTGCACGCAGTTGGAAACTACAGATGCTTACGGATGCGGGTTTGTTTGCGAACTCTTGCAGTAACAACAACGCATTTAAAATAGTAATTACTACTAATAATATTAATATCATTATTTTTTAAATATATATTTTTCTTTGTTTGTACGTTTGCATTGAAAAATTCTCCACAAATTGAGAAGAATCTTTCTATCTTTCAACGACTATTTGTTTACGCGGCTGGTCTACAGCACGTAACTCATCGTACAGCATACGGACAGGACCGTTCCAGAGAAAATATTTTGATCCATAATTCAACTTTAATTGAAGAAAAAAAAAACTCAAAAATAGAACTTTTCGTATAAGACTTTTCTATTACAAATATCATTCAATATCAATATCGGAAGCTGTAGCGTAATTTTTATAGATTATACACGGCACACCCTGTATGTTGAAAATGACTGCGCGTGAACCAATAATGCAGTTTCTCAATTCTTGAATGTATTACACAGGTATCTTCTACATTAAACATTATGAGTGGCCCCATATACAAAAATCTATAGGATTTAAAACGGCTGTTCAAAGAAGCCAAACTCAAGATCCGCCTGTCCAACGATTGAACATGCTTCGTTTAAATATTGTGGAGCTTTTAAACTTAAATAGGCAGAAGCCCTATCATGCATAAAAGAAGCTAAGCTGTAACATGTATAATATCTCCAAGAAATATTCGAAGTGATATATTTGTTGATTGTTTTACAGGTTATAATGTTCTTTATATTGCTGAAATTTGGCCTGCTGTACAAGTATTAAAATTCACAAATAATCCCCAGAATTGTCCAATAAAATAAGACAGCTATTTCATGAACACGATTTGTTCTTTATTCGGTTTCTAAGAAAACGTGATCCCAGTTTGATTACTGATTTCTTCAGTCCCGTTTCGATTCACTGGAAACAAATATTAATTGCACCGTGATTTTCCAACAGCACGACCACTAATTGATCTGTAGAAAGAACAGAAAACGTACCTAATTCTTCCTCCAATGAAGCATATTCAAATTTTGCTTACTTTCTAAACAACCGGTAAAAGTTACTATACGACTGGTATCGATATTCGTAATCTCAATTTTTCAGAAGAAAAGGTTAAAAGAAGTTTATTGGAGCGCATCGATGTAAACGCATAATTGTATTCATTTTCCATCGTAACTGTACTGTGTTATCGTCTATAAATTGATGCGGTATAAGGAAACTAGGTCAATCTCAGATAAATGATAAAATGGCAACTAGTGCCTTATTTTATTTCCAATTATAGATAATGTTATGCCATTTCCTTCGAATCGCCTTTCACTGGATTTGACTTGCGTCTCATTCTTAATAGTTACAATTAGTTTATTTGTTGTCAGTAAATGTGAGCAACGTATTTTATTTTAGTTTACATATTTTTACATAACAGTGTTAATTATTTATTAAATGATACATATATTTTGGATTCTAACGAAACACATACATATTTCTTTTAGAAATATTGTCAAATAATTTTAAAGTTATGTGTGTTAGTTTATAGAGAGGGAACCAAATAATTCTACAGCATTCAAGTCTTGAGTGTACTAAGGAAAAATAGAGAGATTTTAGAGCAACCATATCGTTGAAAGATAAAGAGCTTTTCTGATAATAAGTTCTAATGTTTTATAAGCAGCATCGCCCATTTCATTAATTTGACTGGAGAAAGTGAGTTTTTGACAACCATTATTACAATTAAATAAAAGAGGTTGAGGTTTAAGTATAAATGAACAATGATTACTTACTTAATTGATTTTTCAAACACTAAACTAAAACTCAATTAAACTAAATTATACTCAACTACACATTTCTGCAAGTATAAGCGATCATTAATGTATTGTATATTTGAATAAAGTTTTAAATGATCCAAAAAAAATGATTAAATTTTAGTGTTAAAGATACTAAAAAAATGGCCTAACACCAGAAGTAACTAATAAGTAATAAGGTATTAAACTTAAAATAGTTGTAAAACCTATAATTTGCCTTGTGAAAGATATAGTCGCTAGAGATTGAGTAAGCTATCAATAAAAGCTATACGAATTTTATTGATGAGGAATCAAACATCAGCAATAGAAAAATTTTATGGGCCACCTAAATCAACAACTTTTATACTCCTTCCACATATGACTTTCTACTCGTTTATTGCGATATTTTCTGCAACGTCTCGCATTTTCTTCGTGGATTTTGGAAAAGGTTGGGCAAGTTCTTCAGTTCTTGACACAGATCTTGTATGTCAAGAATATATACAGGCTGTCTACTATAAGAGGGCCCCTCGCTTAATATACGACGCACGTCAAAAATCTTTATATATTTTTTGTTGCATTTTTTGAGGCCTTTATGCTCGTAAAAACAGATTTGAGATCCATGGCCAACTTTGTCAGTAATCATAAAAAAAACGGAAAAGTGCCGAAAGTTTAGGGTCGCCTAACTTTTTTATTTTAAAATATAGAGAAAACTTACTTTAATAAAATTTCATGGCAAAATTGATCTTTCACCTGGTTTAAACAGATTTTGGAACTATCGTCTGTAAATTGCAGTGCCCTCTACGCGGGCAAAAAAAAGATGTTATCGAAGTAGGCTATTTTCACAAAATAACTGCTTGTTCTTTCCTCTTTCATGCTATATACTACATGTCGCCTTTATCTTTTATATTTATTACATTTTTTATACTTTTGATGTAAAAAAAAATAAAAATTTTCGTGTTGCTTATATTAATGTAAACATTAATTTTAAACATAATAACTACAAAAGAATTAATAAATATAATGCACTTGTTTTAAGCAAAATACAGATTTTCTTATTACTTTATTATAGTATTGGTTTTTGCATTAGAGGGAATTAAGAAGCCTTCACAGATAAAGTAGCTTACGCTAAACCTCGCAAGCTGTAAAAACAAATGTGTTACCCCTTAGACCCCAGTAATGTCATCATTTGGCAAACTGTTTATTATTATAGATTATACGTAACTGTTGGCTTGAAAACTGTTACAGTTCATTGTTATTTGAAAAATCATTTTGAAGGTGTTATAAAATAAAAAAGTGTATGTCATTTGAGGAAGAGGAAAGCTCTAATTCTGTAAGTAGATATATTTATTATTATTATATATTTGGCGTGTTTAAAACAATTTCTACATTAACATAAGCAACACGAAAATTTTTATATTTTTTTATATCAAAATTATAAAAAACATAATAAATATAAAAGATAAAGGCAACATGTAGTATTATTTTCTGGCCATAGTCTACTTCGATGACAATTTTTTTTTGCCCGTGTAGGGGGCGCAGCAATTTACATACGATAGTTCCAAAATCTGTTTATACCAGGTGAAAAATATCAATTTTGCCATGCAATTTTATTAAAATAAATTTTCTCTCTCTTAAAATAAAAAAGTTAGACGACCCTAAACTTTCGGCACTTTTCCGTTTTTTTTATAAATTCTCACAAAGTTGGCCATGTATCTCAAATTTGTTTTTACGAGCATAAATGCCTCAAAAAATGCAACCAAAAAACATATAAAGATTTTTGACGTGCTTCGTATATTAAACGAGATACATAGAAGGGGCCCTCTCCTACAGTAGACAGCCTGTATATCAAAAATATTGATGATTATCATAAATAGAAATTATTTGTCTCAAATCAATTAAGCTATCGAAACAAATTCATAACTAAATTACATTGCCGATAGAAATAAAATTACCCAAAAATTTACTTTAATAAATTCTTATTATTTTTTTCGTGCATATCTATTTATAATGCGATGTATGTAAATCAGTCAGATGAAATTCCTTGTAAAACATATTCATTTTACAACTAGTGGAAATAGTTTTTTTCTCTAAGGAAATAATATCAATGACTATTCGATGCCCAATTAAACATATTCAGGAATTAAGGAACTAAATATTTTAATCAAAGCATAGGACTTCGCTCGCGATTACATCTTTTTACTTTCCCTATTTATCACTTCTTAAGGAAAAAGACTTTTCACAGTCGTACTTCCTGCTTAGTAGAAATTATTCAGCTTGTTGTTATTATCTCCCGCTTGCAGGCATAACAGGTACATCAAGTTCAAGTAAAAGTTTGATGAACCTGAATGCTGCAAGCAAATTATATAATCAGCAAAAGCTTACCGAAAACATTAGCAATTCTCTTCCATCAGTGTATATTCTTGTGTATAATAATATTTTACGGTTGGATTATTTTAATCCTTAGTTGCCTTAAAATATAACAAGTTTTTTAAAATAACAGTGAATTGTATAGGGCGCTTAAAATTTGCATTATCAAATTTTAAATCAGAATATCTGAAGCAGGAGAAAGACGTCAAATGTTTGTATTTCTTTTTAAAAATTTTTAAATGCTCGTTATTTAGGAAAAGTATCAATTTGCAATAACTTTATTAACCTTCTGAAGATAATGCGATAAACTAATCAAAACATGAACGACAGAATTACGTATACAGGGTGTCCCGAAAATGGTGGGCAATCTCTCGGATATGGATAGATAATGAGAAAATAGTGTCACAAGTTCATATAAAATTTTTTCCTCCGGGCTCACTCTGTAGAGTTATTAGCTCTTGAAGTTGAGAATTAAAAATGGTTTTTTGCTGTAACTTTTGTATTTTTCAATAAATTTTGAAAATGCTTTGGCTGGATCTATAACATTTGAAGCTGCTTTGGATGATAATATGAAATCCTCGATAATAAATATGGGGGCCCGGGGGCAAAGCAACCCCCACCAAAATTTCTAGAAAAATTTTCCATCATTTTATAAAAATTTATGGTATTTTACGTAAAAAAGGTATACTTGTTGAATATCCATAAAATAGATATTTTTTGAGATAAACCCGTTTAAAGAGGAAGGTACCATTTAATTTGAGACATTTTATTTAATTGAAACACAGATTTAATCGTGGTTGGTTTTGACATGTCAGAGTATGCCAAAGGCAATTAAATTGTCAAACTTTTCAAATACGTAGTTTTAAATCTAAGACTAATCTCATAACTCATAATTTGTTATAAAATATGAAGTATTCTAATGAAGAATATGCTGATATGCATTTAATGTACGGGCGGGCTCTGTGTAACGCTTCGGCAGCAAAAAGATTTTATCAGCATTCTTATCCTAATAGAAGGATTCCGGATCGCAAAACTTTCGAACGCATTGATCAAAGATTAAGAGAAAAAGAAAAAATACGATTACTATTATTAAACAAAATGGATATTAAATAAATTTTAATGTCTTTAGGTCAGTTTGCTCCTGTTACTGTTACTGCAAACAAAAATCTTGTTTATTTCACACCTGTAACCACTAGAGAAGAATTAGAAGAAAGGATTTTTTATTGTGCAAATGAAATACGACAAAATCCTGAAATGTTATGGAGAGTGCAACAGTCTTCTGTTAAACGAGCTCGTATTTGTATAAGGGAAGGTGGAACTAATATTGAGAATTTATTATGAATTATATTAGTTACAAAATTTTGATTGTCATGCACTTTTCGTTTAGTTAGTTTAGTTAAGTCCAAATTCTCATAATTTGGAACACTGCTATTGCAAATTATTTGTCCTTTATTCTGATATGTAAAAGCCAACTACGATTAAATCTGTTTCAATTAAATAAAATGTCTCAAATTAAATAAGTAACCTCTTTTACGTAAAATAGGTACCATAAATTTTTATAAAATGATGGAAAATTTGGAGTATAGTGGAACAACATTTTTTTTCTAGAAATTTTGGTGGGGGTGCTTTGCCCCCGGGCTCCCATAATTATTATCGAGGATTTCATATTATCATCCAAAACAGCTTCAAAAATTATAGATTCAGCCAAAAAATTTTCAAAATTTATTGAAAAATACAAAAGTTACAGCAAAAAAACATTTTTAATTCTCAACTTCAAGAGCTAATAACTCTACAGGGTAAGCCCGGAGGAAAAAATTTTATATGAACTTGTGACATTATTTTCTCATTATCTATCCATATCCGAGAGATTGCCCACCATTTCCGGGACACCTTGTATATTAGCTAGACAAAGTATAAAAAGAGTAAAAAATAATGACACAAACGGCCTCATACTGAACCATTTGTTATCTTTCTTATTTTGAAATACGATAAATCTTCATCAAATGATACTCAAATAAAAAGAATGAACTTTGTATTCAATTGATCTACAAGTTCACATTATCCACAAGGTTTTGGAAATAAATACATTATTATTATTTATCTTCCTAGTATGAAGTACAAAGTAATGCAATATTATATGTATATTGTATTAGCTATTTTTTTATACTATCATTTTCTGTACAAAGTATGTATATTTATGTGTCGTATGGCGTATGCGATTTTTCATCCCCTCTCGACTCTAGCAGTCTTCAGTATGTTCACATTTCTGTGCAAAGTCAGTGTTTATTTATTTACATATTTACCTTTTTGCTGTATATGGATTAAAGTAAAAAATGATATTATCCTTAAAACTAAATATTAAAACTTACCACCATGATCTGTACCATTTTGTGAGCTATGGAGGGTGTCATATACCAGGCCTGCTGCATGGACAGGCCACCCAAATCAAATATACATATTCCACCCAGGATCTGTGCTCGCTGTTCTAGGATGGCTAGTTCCAGTACGATCATCGTTCCCTGGAATATTTCCTCGATTGACACTTTTTCGGGATCCCAATGTTCTGGAAACAAAATGAGAAAGCATAGTTTAACTCACCTTCCTTTTGAAATACGAGTGGGTAGTTGTTAAGACCACAGTTACTCTGCATGCGAAATCGTAAAAATTTATTAATGATGTCGTAAGGTATCATACAAGATTTAAGGCGGCGCCGGCGGTTCCATTGTTTGCGAATTCGTAAAATATTGGTTCTTATGAAATTGTATTGATTCGAATGAAATGTCAAATTTAAGGTGGATTTAAGACTGTGTTTACACTGACTACGAATTTGTAAGAAAATCTGTTTGTAGCATCTCTACACCATTATGTAAGGTGCCGATAAACTATCTTTTTATGACACATTGGCCGAGAACACGCAACAATATAAATACATGTTAAGTAAGATTGAATCGTAAACAGTAATACAGTGACATACCAATGGTTGGTATGGGAAAGGAAATCGGAACCACGCCTTTGTATGTGTATATCGTCTAAATGTGAACTAAGGTTGAGTATAATTGAGTATATAATGTATAATTAAATAGAATATATTTTATTAATATTATTCTTAATATTTTAATAATCCCATGAACAAAATTAATCCCATGAAAAGAAAAGAAATAATTACAATAAAGAAAATACTTGTAACTAAATGTATAAAGGGTGGACAACGGAACACTGTTCTTATGAAATCTATACGATTTTGTTTCGTACAATTTGTCAGACTTAAGGCAGTGTTTTCACTGCTTGCGTATTCGTAATCTTACTGTCTGCTAATGTAAATTTCACAAACAAAATAAATTTGACAAACACTTTTTACACATAACACAAAATAAAAAAATAAAACAAGAGTAAGTTAAAAAAATAATTTAAAAGAAAGAAAACTATAAAAATACATTTTCAATATAGGCACCTTCCACCTCCACATACCTCCTAAGTCTACAAATATTATTTGTTTGTACAAGAAAATGCATTTCTGGGGTAGGTATGTCTAATTTTATCACAATGGAACTTAATACTTTTTAGCTATTCATCCCTTGTTTGTATTGGGGTTGCGTACACTAAACTTTTCAGGTATCTCCATAGGAAGAAGTCCATCGGGTCTGGAGAACGTGGTGGCCATGAAATTCGGCTTACTCTCTCAATCCATTTATTATTAAACACAATGGATAAATAATAATAATAATTATTATTATTATTACTTACATCAATATTGAAATGGGGAGGAGCCTCATCGTGCATAAACAAACGTTTCTTCGGGTTTCTAATGGAACATCATCTAATAGTGGCTGCAAATTATTTTGCAAAAACTCCAAAATAATGATTTCCATTCAGACGTTCCTCAAAAACCTATGGACCTATATTTTGATAGTTTTCTTTCTTTTAAACTATTTTTTTTAACTTACTTTAACTTATTCTTGTTTTTCTATTTTGTGTTACGTGTAAAGTGTGTTTGTCAAATTTTGCTAGTGAAAATTACATTAGCAGACAGTAAGATTTTCTAAGTTCTTATTTTAAAAATATGTACCTACGGTTCTAACATAGTAAATGTGTCCAATTAAAATTTAAAAACAAAAAATGGTGGAGGCGCGCTCGATGTGCAGTGTGACATAAAATCACAAATATTTCCTAAACTCTTAATTTTACAGAGTTAAATCAAGAGGATATTATCGTTGGAAAATTCTTCAGGGAACTTATTTTTGACGCAGACAGATTGAAATCGTCATCTATGCAAAAATTCTGGGTTGTCAACTATTGGGCATAGTCCATCCCTGATGTTCAGGGCAATATGAAGTTTCACTTACAACATCAGAAACAAGCTGTACGCATGTGTTATGAATCACCAGATTTCCATCATGCTGTAGTTAATAGTTTAGATACTAAATGAAAATAACTTTTTAATTTTTACCTTTGAGGGCCCGTAACTTGTTAACGAAGGCCGATATGAAAAAAATGTATATGAAGAACTGATATTATTTTGGCCTCATCTATTTATACTCGACTTTTTTGTATCAAGTACCGTGACACCCTATATATACGGTGTGATTGTCCTGTTATAAATTTCATATTAATTGCCCGACATGTTTGACAATCGGGTGTCAAGGAAAATGGTTTGATTTACATATTTTGTATGAATGTGATTATTACCAAAAATATATTTAACATAGTTGTAAACAATTGGATCGATTTTGTTTAGGTACTTTTAATGGCGAAGTAAAATTTGAACATGCACGAATTCGTACGGTATCGTACAAACAAATTAGCATCCAGGGTAATGTAATGCCTAATACGTATTTTTTTAGATCTATATACATACCTATCCTGTACAACAAAATTCTCCTTCCAGTTTGTTCTCTGTAAGGAGGTACAGTAATTATAGAGTCATCCCCCATTTTTAATAACTGTCTCAGATTAACGCCTTCGTAAAATTCCGGATTATTTTCTTTGAAGGTGTAATAGTTAACTAGCTAAAAACCAATAAATACATAAGTTTTTCTAATCATACCCACATTAAATTTTCTTACCAGTCTGTGCGCTCTCTCTACAATAAAATGTCGAGCTCTTAAGAAGCGAAAAAGAAAAGAATCATCAGTTCTGTGTGGAACGCATTCGTCTCTCTCTGAAAAAAACTTGTTAAATTATTATTATTGAAATTAGTTTATTGATCTTATTCTTTTCTTCCAATTCAGATATTAGTATTATCTACAGTGTGAGCCACCAGTAACGCCTCGGTAACTAGGGACCAAACGGCAAATGCTATAGAAACCTGTTTAGGTGGGTATGTGTAGGTTGATTACGACTACATTTTAAAAATATTTTGAAATATACAGGGTGTCCAGGAAAAGACCTCGATGAAGACACGTGGATACTTACATCTTTCAAAAAAATTCTATAAAAAACGAATCTGCACAAATATCTCTAATACCGTTAGAGATAGGTATAGGGAACCTATACAATTTGAAATAGTTTTAAATTTCCTAACTTCGTAAGTAAAAATATACTGGGTGCCCCATTTAAAATAACCAAGTTATTGCTGTTTAAAGTTGAGAGAAGTATTCACCAGTTTTTTGAACACCCTGTATAATACTAAATACAGATACACACAAAAGGATCTAAAATACACTTTCCAAAGCTGCTTCCTAGAAATTATTTTTTATTGCTAAGTCTGCATTTTCACTAAAATTGGAATATTTCACAAACAATAAGTCCTAGGTATGCAGAACCTTTAATAAAGTTCACCTATTTTTTACGGTGCTTTCAAAAATGCAGTAAAATACAGGGTGTTCCATTTAGAAATACATAACTTTGATATGGTACGCTTTTCCTGGACACCCTGTATATATCAAAATATTTTTAAAATGTAGCCGTAATCAACCTACAAATACCCACCTAAACAGGTTTCTATAGCATTTGCCGTTTGGTCCCTAGCCACCGAGGCGTTACTGGTGGCTCACCCTGTATACAAATCGCAATGTCATAAAGTTCTGCGTAAACTTAGAAAATGATAATAATTGGGCAAACGTAATTTAACCACCATGTCAAATACTTTTAGGTAATTGATCCTATTTTCAAAGCCAACACAACTTAATATAAATAATTTATATAAAATTTCAATAATTTTGCATAAATACATATCTTTAACTCGTAAGTTGTATTCTAAATAACTGTATTTTCCCATAAATAATTACCGCAAGAACTACTTTTTTAGATTGTTTACGTAGTTTGGGAGCGTTTAAAATATTTGATGAACTAATTATCTAATACATTTTAATTAGACGTTATTTATTGTAATGTTCTGCAGTTTTTACATTAAACATTATTTTTTGTTCGTCTCTACGTCCAAGTTAAGGATGAATTATAACTAACTGTCTAAAAAATTGTTTAAAGTAACTAAATTTACATGTCTTTTATGATCATATGATAACACTTTTTTTCAAATATACAGCTGCGTTTTATAATAATTACGAGTACATGTCATTTATTTAAAACTGAGCTTCCCAACAAAATTACATATTCATATAGAAGACGTCATTTTTTGAAAGAGCAGAGGTACATACATACATCAAATGAAGTAATGCACTGACAACATGTTAAATTCTATATTTATAAGGGGAAAACTGAAATGAGTAATTCCATAAAAAACATCGAATTTTCATACCATAAATTTCCTACATGTTTATGTCTCATTGGAGACCATTTATTTGTAACACTTACATACTTGGGAAATAAAATATTTTATTGTAACCTTGCCAGTCGTAATGACAAAAATATAACTTCTCCGTTTCATGTTTCTATCATTAAGATCAATAATAATTATCATAATTTCAGTGCTATTTTAAAAGTATACACCTATAGATAAGAAAAACTCATCTAAAAATAACTTTTATTGCAGTTTTGTAATTACAATTAGACTTCACTCCTTTATAGGCATATATCATTGTTCCCACTTTTAATAAGTAATTTTTAATTGAACGTAAAGTGAATTTTCCATTTTATTAAGTAACAGTAAACAAAATAATTTATAGTCGTAGAATAATCAAAACAGTAAGCGTGAAGGTCAGTTATTTCATTAGTGACACATACATTTGTCATGAGATATTGGAAAATGATGTATTTATTTGTATTGCATAATAAAATTAAGGAGAAACATGTATTTTAACATAGTTCGATGATTTTTTTAACCTACTCAATTACTGAAATTAAACTTGATATATGCTAAAAACCTTCTACTTATCATTTATACATTATTCAAAAGATGCTGGCATAAATATAACAAGTAATTGAAACATTAAAAAACAATAGTTGCAACATCTACGTGGTTTTCTATCATTTCAGAAAATAATTTATAGAAAGAAATATTCTTATCATTAAATTCTTATTTCGAAGAAATTAATTTATCCATTTTTCATAATACATTAATTATTTCAAGTTAATACAGAGAAAATGCTGATGTTTTGACTCTTTGTGAAAACTTGTTTTCATGCAAAATAATAAATTATTATTATAGATTTTAAGTATAATGAATATCATAATTCAAAACATAATTGTAAAAATTTATTATCATACAAGTGCAGTCTCAGCCATGAAATACAAATTGTAAGTCTAATATGAATAACTGTGTAATTGAAAATTATTCTGTTCTATCAAAAAAATCTGACAATGCTAGTATTGATGTGGAATATAAAAGAGCACCAAATAAAATTAAATTTGATCCACAAATCGCAATCAGTTATCCGAAGCAATATTTATGATAATTATTTCGGTTCTGATGTAAATAGTTCAACTTGTCGTTTTCAGGATTTATACAGGGTGATTCATTAACAATGGGAAAGTCGAAAGCTGAAGATACTACACGTGAAATGGTGACCATTGGCGCAAACATGCCTTATCCGAAAGTTGATAGTTTCGGAAATACAGGGTGTTGAAAGTTAAAATTTTAAATCGTTTTTTTGCGATTATTCTGAAAATATGTAGGTTAGGAACTTGAAAATTTGTGAAACTATATTTTTTTAGGCGACGAATAAGATGCGTGTTGTAATTTCAGCATTGCTCATAGAGGGCGCCACTTACGACCAATTTTACCGAAAATTTAGTTAATAACTTTTTACCCTGTATATTTAACATGAAACTTGATTCAAAACCTGAAAGAGCTATCATTTTTCCATTAATTATGTACTCTTGTTTCATTTCGGTATCTCGATCCGTTTTCGAGAAAAATCGATTTAACGAACACTATGTTTTGATAATATGAGAAATTAAAAGCGAAACAAACCAAGTGTTTCTTCGTGTTATTACAACAATTAACAATAAAACAAATAAAATACGTAATTATGATTTAAAGTAATTGTTCGAAGAATCCACCGTTGACACTGATACACTTTACACGTTTTCTGAGAGATCTTCGAGTTTGAAACAACGTATTGGGATTGCGTCTGACTTCGTTGGCAGCGATTTGTATTCTTTGCCACAAATCTTCACACGAGCCAATAGATTCCTTGGAAACTATATCTTTCATTCGAGACCAAATAGAAAAATCAAGAGGATTGAAGTCCAGACTTCTGGATGGCCAAGCAAAAATGCTGAAATGGCCAATCCAGCGATTTGGAAAAACTGCATCTAAATATGCATGCACTGGCCAAGAAAAATGCGGTGGAGCTCCGTCGTGCAAGAACCACATGTCTCTTCCTAAATAAAGTTGAACTTCTTCAAGCTGTGGAAGCATTTTTACTTGGCCACCCAGAAGTCCGGATTTCAATTCTCATCATTTTTCTATTTGGTCTCGAATGAAAGATATCGTTTACAAAGAATCTATTGGTTCGTATGAAGAGTTGTGGCAAAAAATACAAATCGCTGCCAACGAAGTCAAACGCAATCCCAATATATTGTTTCAAACTCGAAGAACTCTCAGAAAACGTTGTGTAAAGTGTGTAAATGTCAACGGTGGATTCTTCGAACACTGACTTTAAAATCATTATTACGAATTTCATTTGTTTTGTTATTAATTGTTGTAAAAACATAAGAAACACTTAGTTTGTTTCGCTTTTAATTTCTCGTATTATCAAAACATAGTGTTCGTTAAATCACGGATCGAGATACCGAAATGAAACAAGAGTACATAATTAATGGAAAAATGATAGCTCATTCAGGTTTTGAATCCAGTTTCATGTTAAATAAACAGGGTAAAAAGTTATTAACTAAATTTTCGGTAAAATTGGTCGTAAGTGGCGCCCTCTATGAGCAATGCTGAAATTACAACACACATCTTATTCGTCGCCTAAAAAAATATAGTTTTACAAATTTTCAAGTTCCTAACCTACATATTTTCAGAATAATCGCAAAAAAACGATTTAAAATTTTAACTTTCAACATCCTATATTTCCGAAACTATCAACTTTCGGATAAGGCATGTTTGCACCAATGGTCACCATTTCACGTGTAGGATCTTCAGCTTTCGATTTTCCCATTGTTAATGAATCAACCTGTATATTATCAATACCTTCGAGGAATGAATACAAAACTTAGTACTTTCTACAATAATGCCTCATATTGCTATTTTATTCTGGGATCTCGCAAACGTAGAAAATACTGAAATAATGAGTAACGATACTTTTAACATTTTTAATCAAGATTGTAAAGTCACTGTTCGAAGTTTTAGTAGTTAGTTATTATATCCAGGCACTTATAAGTTAGATCTGTCTCCTATTGATTTTAACAGGATCCTTGTTACTGATTTTGTTGGGATTAAATTTATAATGGTACAATGTGTCTACGAATGGAATTGAATTCTGTTCAAATGTAGAAAAATGTAGTTTTAAAGGGGTCAAGGTATACAGGGTGTCTGTTCATGAGAAATTATTAGAAATAAGATATTATCCTATAAATAGCCAATTCGTTGAATTCGTACAAGGTGTCGACATGTTTTCTCATCTATTGGTGTCAATGACAAACAATTTTTGATGGTAATTATTTGTTTCGGGAAACCATTCTGGTTGGTTAACATATTTTTATATCTGAAATTATGTAGGCCTTCTAAAGAACAAAAAAATTATATTCTATGTGGGTAAAGTGCCTTTCATTAGGAAAACTTGTTCAGAATTAAAATTTATTTCCAAATTTGGATGCAATCGGGCTATTGTTTATATTGTAGGTGAAATTCCACTGTTTGCCCTCTGAGACATATAGATCACATATCCTTCTTGGTTTAATACAAATTTAACTCCTAAAATTCGATGAAAATGTAAATGTAAATTCGATGAAAATGTAAATTTTAAAAGAACTAAAGATATTAATGTTTAAAGAATTTAAAACTCTTTGGCGTTCAAAGCCTTTGAATAATGAGTCTTTTATATATCCTTCTAATATATGCAATATATTTGCAAATTTCTTTTACAATTAGAGTTCTTATAATGACCCAACATAAAGTTATATAAATTCAGATACTGAATGAATTTGATGTTGAATACACAGTTTCTCCGAGCAGGATATTTTGCATTGTTTGAATAAATTTAAACCCAAGCTTACTAATTGGCCTGATGGGATTCCAACCAGTAATATTTTCTAATCCTTTGGCAGTTTTGTTTAACTCGTTTTGCTGACTGGTATTTTCTCTGCTATACGGAAATCATCTAAAATTGTTCCAATACTTAAGAAGGTCGAGAAAGAGCTGCTATCACCCAACAGTTATTATTAATAATTTTTCTAAATGTTTTGAAATGCTTTTATTTATTTTTATCTATACAAGGCATATGATCAATGATAAATCAACACATTTTCTTTAAGGACAATCAATAGTAATTAATTTATTTCGAACTTTCGACTTTTTTACTTAATAAACTTTCAATATGTAATATGTCGAGGTTATACATCTGAAGATAAGCTACAGCAGGACTGCTCGAAGGTTCTATCCTTGGCCTCCTAATATTCAGTCTATTTAAGTAATATATGATCATTTGTGGAAAATTTAACGGCAAAATTATTATTAATCCAGTTGACCTTAAATTATTTTTTGAATTTAATTTGAATTTAATTATTTATTGGTGTGCTGGAAATGATTCATATCTAAGTCTATATAGATATAATGCTGTGTCATTTACAACTAAACAAAATATGGTAGCGTTTGATTAGGTACCTACCTAACAAGTTCTATTCAGATCGGAATAGTTTTGTGATTTTGGTGTTAGATATGTGTATTTGATGAAAAAAATAAATTAATTTTGGATTTAGCGATCCAAGACAAAATATGCCTCATTAATAATGTCAAAAAATTGTTCTCTATACAACGTGGTCAGTTAAGTTGTTGTCATGATAACTTAGAAAATATATTACAAATGTAAAGAATTAAACAGAGAGAAAAAAACATATTTCTGACCTGCATTGGTTGCCAAATATTTGGATACATTGATAATTTTTTATAATACTATATACATATTTTCCTGTACCTTATAATTTTACTTACTTTAAAATAAAAAAACTCCCTGTTATTCCTTATATGGACTTTTTAACCTCAATTTTAATTTTTGTTACCTTTTTTTGTGCATCATAGTCAATATCTTTTTCTGTTATATTGTGTTCTATAATTTTTGTTTATATTAACTTTATATTTCCTATTCTGTTATTGGTCTGTTACCTGGTGAATATTGTGAAGAAAATATCATATTAATCAATATACTCACCGAAAATCATATCTCTGAATTCTTCCAATTTCTGACAACTCGTTTCTGGGTCTTCGTTAATGTTTTCTCGAGCCCATTCTAATAGTTCCTTGGGTGGTTCCCCCAAGTCTAATTCCGCCAAAACGTCTGTGTCAGACGGCATTGTTGAACTGTAAAAAAATATCAGATAATCAATAAAACCCTTTTCTAATAGATATGAGAAGTTATTACGCCTATGAAATGTCTTTCCTCTTACACTAATTGAAAAAAATAGATGTTGGTGTCACAAATTGTTGTTAAAACAAAGAAAAACATAAACCAATTTTTATATTACCATGGTTTTTATGTTTTTGCATGTTTTTATTATTTTATTACAAATTACATCGACAACTGTGGAAAAAAAAATATGCTCATAAAAATTCGACTTTTAAAAAAAAATTAAATTATTAAAAAAGGTGTCAGTGACATTTATTTCGACTTTTATTGTTGTTTGGACAACATTTTTGTGCTTATTTATCTAAAATTCATGAAAATGATACAATACAAATCATTTGATCTATTTATTTCTAAGCAAAATGACTTCAGCTATATTCAATAACTACCATAAAAAAAGGCTAAGTTAGAAGGACAAATGGTAATTTTGCCACTTCAATGTGTTTTCCTCTATATCATACCTTACCAACAAATTACAAACTTTGTTACTAACTAATCATAATTACGTATTTTATTTGTTTTATTGTTAATTGTTATAATAACACGAAAAAACACTTGGTTTGTTTCGCTTTTAATTTCTCATATTATCAAAACATAGTGTTCGTTAAATCGATTTTTCTCGAAAACGGATCGAGATACTGAAATGAAACAAGAGTACATAATTAATGGAAAAATGATAGCTCTTGGTTTTGAATTAAGTTTCATGTTAAATATACAGGGTAAAAAGGTATTAACTAAATTTTCGGTAAAATTGGTCGGAAGTGCCGCCCACTATGAGCAATGCTGAAATTACAACACGCATCTTATTCGTCGTCTAAAAAAATATAGTTTCACAAATTTTCAAGTTCCTAACCTAAATATTTTCAGAATAATCGCAAAAAAACGATTTAAAATTTTTACTTTCAACACCCTGTATTTCCGAAATTATCAACTTTCGGATAAGGCATGTTTGCGCCTTCGACTTTCCCATTGTTAATAAATCACACTGTATATTTATCTATACAATCAATTTTTTTTGGAGCTACTTAACAGCAAGGAGAAAGCGAATTCCTTTTGTGATTATTGTTTGAGGTGAAGAATCAATTTCTGCAATCAATCAAATCTTTTTTTAGAAATAATTTTAATATTGATGTTTTACCCCTTCTGAACATTGCTGATGTAGTATCGCAGCCGGTTATCGCATGTAAAAATAAGATATGGTTTTGGCATTTTGGATAAGCACAAAACTTTTTGAAGAATATATTTCTGTTCGCTGTTGAGCCTTTCCAGGTTTTAAAAAGTATATAATTTTATCAATTGCAGTCCTTGACTGACTGACTTCACCAACTACAATAGTTGTATTTGTTGCATTAAATTGTTCTATTGTTGTTTCAATTATAAGGACATCTGCGTCATTTTGATTAAGGGGCTGAGTTTCTTTTGAGTGTATATTCTCAGAATAGTATAGTTTATACATATAAGACACAAATAGGCATTTTTACTTGCATTAAGTGCCTGACTATGTATAGTTGTATATCATGTGGAACGTGACTCCTTCAACTTTTAGAATTGCGATAGCTCAGGAATGATGGTTCTTAGAAAAAAAAAGTATAAGGACCATTTTTGTAGATAATTTACAGATCTATAATTTTTGTCTGAACTTCTTATTTGATAAAACTTACCGTTTTCGAAAAAAAATCCAAAAAACCTCAAATTTTGACTTTTGACACTTTATTTCTAATGGTGTACCAAAGGTCTCCACCAAAATTTAGCTCTGTCGGAATTTTTGTTATTTGACCACTATTTTTATGACTAATTTGACCGGACTAATAATAGTTTGTATGGATTTGTCTAGGTCTATGACGCTATTGACTCTATCGATATGACAAATTCATTGTCGGCTGGTGAAAATTAAAGTGGTCATATTTTGATAATAAGGAGTGAGTCCCATGCCCTTTTGCCATTATTTTTTCTTAACAAGTGATATACACAAACAGCAGTTTTTCCATTTTTTTCAAAATTTTCCTATGTCATAGAATTATAATCAAGTTTGAAATATATAATGTTATTTATCAATTGAAAGGACACCGCAGGGTTATGGAATTTGACTTTTGGCCATAAAAATGGTAACTTAACAGGGAAATATCTTGAAATCTATGGCTTTGTGCCCATGAGTATTTTTGTTCTACTCGCTGAAACCTATCATTTCTCAAAATATCAGCGAATTTGACAGAAAGCCAATTTCCATAAAAACACTGTGGGGTCCTTTGAATAGGACTAACTACAAAGAATATATCATTTTGTCAAAAATTTAAAGAAATGCCTGATTATGGAATCAGTTCATTATGAAAAAAATATTTTGCAAAAATTGTGTGCCACCCTTTCCAAGATCTCTGGATAGGCAGCCCCTATTTAAATTTTTTATTACCCAAATTACGTTCCAAATTTTTTCGTCATGAAAGTTCTATACGACTTTAATTTTCACCAGCTACCACTGGCATCACATTTGATTAAGTTACCTCACGATAAAAATCGATTTATTGAAAACCTTCTCTATTCAGTTACATTACAGTGCAAGTTTTTGAAAGTGTTTTATTCAAAATACCTGAATACATTTATTATTATAGTCAGTATTGCTCTGTAAATGTTTATTTTAGACAGGCATGCAATCACCGTCAATTACACCATTTCATAACCCAAAAGGCTCTTGACCCAAATACTTTTAACATTTAAATGTGTATTTTCTTCTTATAATCTGAATCGTTATAATGTGCAATGTACATATACATATATCATGAAAAAATTGTCACTTAAAAAAATGTATGGCATTATAAAACCTATTGTTTATATTGGCTAGGTATAAATACTCATTTTCACCTTGATCGTCTGAAACAAGGTGGTTTAGATAGTCGTATTGAGCGCATAAAGTGTTGTTAAGAAACCATAGAAATTCATTACGTACGTTTTATGAAATAGTGTGTCAGCTGTGAGAGTTGCAAAAAATTATTCAAAATAACATCATCTTTGCGGGTTTAATTCTCATTTGCTAAAATGAGATTAATATAATTAAAATTATTTTTATTTAGAAGCCTGTTGATATTATTTCATTCAAGGCAGATACCTAGAGAAAGTTAATGAAAAAAGATTATTTGAGTGTAGAAGGTCCACAAATACTGAGATAATTAATGTATCCTTGATATGCTTTTGGTTATTAATTGGCATTTCCATTATAAAATTGTACCCTAGGCAAAGTCCTTAAACTTTAGTGTAATAGTTTGAAGATATTTTGAGACGCCTAAGTTTATTAAATGAAAAACATTCACTGGATTCAATTTGAAAAAATACTTTCTGATATCAAACCTGAAGGAGAAACGAAACCGAGGACGTATGTAGTCTAATGATATTGCATAATACTATTAACTTTTAATTAATTAGGTATAAATATGGTTTTACATAAAAGTAATTCTATATTAGGTGTTAGGTGATTTGTACATTCAACAATTTTTTTAATCGTTGCTTCTAAACCTGTTACCTGATTAGTGTTCATGTTTATTCCACAGTTTGTAGGTTACGTTTCGCTAAAAAATTTAATACCTATATGTATATGCCATAATTACAAAAATCTTCTTTTCGGAAAAACAGTAATATCTGTTTCTTTTAATGATTCAATGATTTTATTGAATATAATGTAATAAATTTCTAATTCGGTATAAACAGTTATTTTCCTTTTCTAGTTTCGGCTATTATACCATCACCAGGTAAAAGAAAATGACAATTATTCAAGAAAATTGGCTACATAAAACTACTAATAATCCAATAATCCAATAATAGTTAGGGCATGTAGACCATTGACCTGTAAACCTGTTTCCTGCAGTACCAGCAGTTAGTAATCTTCTCTGTGAAATTGGATGTCTTAGCTTATACTTAGATTATACTTTAATAAAGAGTAAAAAAATATTTATTAGTAGTTTTATGTAGCCAATTTTATTTGAATTATTGACATTTTATTTTGCCTGGTGATGGCATAATAGCCGAAACTAGTAATAAAGAAACATAAAAGTTTCTACTAAATTTAAAAGGATTCTAATTTATCCCATCACAATGGATTTTCGTCAAGAAGCTAATTGATGATTTTATTGCAATACAACGCAGTTCTTTTGCGCCTACTAAAATGTGTAGAAAAATCATTTGCTTGTTTATTTGGGTTTCTAGAAGTGTGAAGTTATTCATAAAAAATAGTATAAAGATACTGCATATATTTTTCCCAAATTGTGTTCTGTAACATGAAAAATTATAATGAGAAAATCTATCGACGTTGACTGCAATTATCTCTCTGTTTAAAGTCATAAACTGGTTAAATCTGGTAATGAAGCAAACCAAATGAAACCTTGTAAACTTGATCAAGGTTGCTGCATATATTTTCTGATTTAAATTGTGCCGATAAACATATATAGGTATTCATTCAAAAAATATTGCAGTTCTGAATGAATATTTAAAATTAAAAAGGTTGATTTACATACGCATAATTTTAATTTAATTCCCTGATATATTGACGTTAGTAAAATACTAAAATAGTACTTAATACTAATAGGCAATCCTTAGTGATTTCCTCTCAATTACAAAAATAGTTCAGGGTTTATTGACTTGAAGCTATTTTATTGTAAAACATATTTATTTTCCAACTACCCACAAGCTATCATAAATAATGTTAAAACCTTTTTCTGTTACATCACCTAATACAGCTGCTACTGATTGTTCATTCACGGATATTCTCTTTGCCTGTGAGTTATAGTAGAAATCTAGAAGTTGTGAAAATCCTGTTGAATAATAAGTATTGTATCAATATCTAGGTTCTTCGCAATTTTAAGAATATGTTTTAAATTGCTGTAATATTATGTTGCGTACTAAGAAAAGTGAAGTTTTGCTAGAAAAGTATGGCTAGTTTGAGTTTGTTGTCATGAGTTTGTAAATGCACGGTTACTATCGTGGTACGTATACTATTTGTTTGCATTTTATAATATTTATAAATAAATATTCATTTATACTCTTGAGGCAAGCATTATAAGATTAATCAGAAAATTCCTCAGAAATGGTAGTTGAATTAAATGTTACTCATTTTTCAAATTCGAGTAATTCAGTGTACCTATATAATAATATAATAATAGTCTTACCATATTAACAAATATTTTTCTATCAAATTGTGTTTTATTACTATGCAGTAAAATGACATTTCTATGTAGTAACAAGATACTTTACAACACGATTTAAATGACACCTACATAGTACTTCACTATGCAAAATGAAAAAAATTAACTTTAACACTATCAAAAGGTTTACTTTAATCGAAATAACAATCATGAACTACAATGTAGTCGAAACAAGCCAAAAAATGTCAGAACTTTGAAGAAACATCTCTGTGCATACTCACAATGTAATCACCACTTCGATAGTACTATTTTAATATACGCGAATTAAGCGAAAGTAGCGATACTAAAACTAAATAAACTGAAAACCAGTAATATCTTGTTCTTTTTCACATTCATTAATTTATGAGCAATAGGTAGGAACGAGTTTGCTTCAAAACATTAAACAGGTGAAGAGAGGAAACTTGCAACACCTACGTAAAAGTGAACCCTTTTTTTAATGTCTGTATAGACAGTAATAATTGTTTCATTCATAATTCTCACTCTTTTAATAATAATGACTTTATTATTATTATTATGAGGAAATAGGTTCAAGATTAATGGTTCTTCGTGATTTTCATTCGTACTTATTAATTTTTATAAAAGAAAATTCGTACTATACCAGACTACAAAACTGAAAAATCAGTAACCTGGAAAAAGTAGTCTAGCTATTATCATCAGCTGAATGCAATTTTAAATTAAATTATAATAAAAATATAAGTATTTGATTAATTAGTAAAGCAAAATATATGTCAATGTCGTAGAAGGTTCCACAAAAAATTGTTGCCATTCACTGATTCCTCTAGCTGTAGAAAATTTAATTTTGGTAAATATCATACATTGGTACAGTCTTTGAACATTTGATGAAGGCAACTGCAATATTCTATCGAATGAAGATTATTTTCAAACAAATATATTTAGGTCCATAAAATGAACAATGCAAAAAGCATAGAAATGTTGTAGAGAAGATATTTTATCTAAAGCAGAGGCCAGCGAGATGTATGGATCATACGCCTCCCATGAATAAGCGTAATCATCATATTATGTTGCATTTACTATGTATTATAGCAGTTTACACAATTAAAGACATTCATGGAGAAGTTGAGGAAGTTATTGAGGATATTGCAAGTGTATTACATAGACCAATATCTTAATGTAATTACTCAGTAGTGAACAATTTCAAGGGAATGATTTTTATTATAAATACGGTTGGCATTATATACAGGGTGTTGCAAAATATTGTTCAGAGAATTCTAGAGCAGATTCTACATCCAAAAATACGAAAAAAATCCTGTAAATGTAGATCCGCAAATGCTTCGTTTTCGAAATAGAGGGTCTCAAAAAAAAAAAATGTTTATTATTGTTTTTTTAGATTATCCTAATCGAGAAATTGTTAATTATTGCTGTCGATATGTTATGGATAATGTTAATAAAGTTATTGTTAATAATTTCTTGTAAATTTGAACATTTACGTTTTAATATAAATGTAGGTACATTGAAGTCAAGATACAGGAGTTTTATACTAAATGTTTAATGTTTCAATAAAAATGATTTGCATGATTTTTAATAATCTTTAATAGCTCGAAAGCCGCTCGCTAAATGACAGATATGCAAGTAAGCCTTTTTGCTCTAAAATAAATGAGGTTCCTAAAAATCCTAAAACCCAGTACAAAAACCAGTCGCGTAGGTTTTCTGGTCAAAAATCAATAGGTACTCCCCCATATCTACGCCCCTGGTGGGTCTGAAATGCAATCGATCTTTTCATATTATAACCTACGTATCATAAATGTATTTACCCAAATTTAAACGATTTTCAATGAAAAATTTAGAAATTATCAATAAAATAAACATATTTTTTTATTTTTTTTTGACACTATTTCGAAAACGAAGCATTTGCGGACCTACGTTTATAGGAATTGTTTCGTGTTTTTGGATGTAGAATCTGCTCTAGAATTCTCTGAACGACATTTTGCAACGCCCTGTATTTAAATCAAAATATAACCATGATTCACAGAACAATTTTTGAAAAATTAGGGCCAGTCCTGTTCTTACAATTTCTTCATAAAATAATTGTCATCAATAAATTATAGACAATTTTATGTATTTAACAACATAACAATTTAATTCAAGGTCAAATTGTTTTATTTTTTTTTTAACTGTGTAAAACTGCTGTTATAGTAGAGGAAATACCTAATAATATTCATAATTTTATCTTCCTGTAAATTATTGTTTACTTGAAAACTGTCACATCTATAAATTACTTATAATGAGAAGTTTAGCAAAATATAATTTTACTAGCATCATATCATCAATATCATTAACTACTATTCATGTCATATTAAAATTATAACCTTAGTAAATGTAATGCAAATACCTGTACACAAATAAAGGCTTGTTTATTTTCACTTTATGTAATTTTTGGTTATGCAAGAAGTACAAGTTTTATATGATTAAATATTTAAAATGCAAAAAATGCATTAAAAGAACTTTTCAGTTATCTTAGGCTATTTTAACACTTTGTTTATAAATTTTACAGTGATCAATTAAAGTTATATATAATGTATACTCACGTTCAGAGCGAGTCTCGCGATTCGGTTGTTGTTGTTATTGTTGTTGTTGCTGTGTCACTTCATAGAAACTAAAAATACTTGCCAACCCAACTGCAGACTAGAGTTAACTGACACAATGATACGCCGGTCTTGCTTACTGCGGCTTGAATACCTTCTTTCGTGCGTGTGCAGGTATGCATATGCGAACCTCCTTGTGGAAGTACTAATTTAGTCTTTCAATTCCCTCCAACGTTCGACAATTAAAATTACATTAAACGATGTCTAAAGAGATGTCTTATTAAAATATATATAAAAAAACATTTTTCATGGAATGTATGATCATATCCAGTAGTTCATAGGCCAGTTATCCAAACTAAGGCGGATTTCGTTAAGGGACCTCTACGGATCTATCAAAGGCTGTGCTAAAACGTCGACCCTGATGCTTTATAGGAACAGATCCTGGCTAGTATCTATAGTACGTTTTTTTAATTATTGCCATTATAAATTGCGTAAAGCCTCTGCAGATAAATAATCAAATATCCGTTAGTTGTAAATACGTATTTTAACTTAGACCTCCGTTGTAGTGCCCCTTCCACCCAAGCATTGTCCAATAGTCCGGTAAAGAGCCTAACGGATCCAATAAACTCCAAATAAGATCCACTTCTTATTTGTGGAAGGGCGAAATGGGCGGTGACTATTAGACGCTTTCATTATAGCCATCTTTCTCTATCGCACGGATTTCTATGACTTCCTTTATCGCTCTCACGTAACGGCAGATGGACCATCGGTACTTTCCGAACCTGTATAATTCATTCTTTATTAACTCGTTTCATGTATTGAAAGTGTAAAAGATGGGTATTTGTTTTTCCTTTTTTTTGCTTTATTTATTTTTTACTTATTTCTAAATACCGGATGTTCCATTTCCCAAACATGAGAAGAATTTGCGATTTTCATCATTCATTCAAGTATGAGAAAACATATTTTATTGATTATTTACGTAATATATTTTAAATAGAATAACTGTAGGCTTTAGAAGTTAGAAGAAGTTAGAAGAAGAATACTTTCGAAGATAATCCTGAAATTCTTGATAGTGTTGATGAGAGGATTGGTATACGGTTATATGCTCAGAAGATGGTAGACATTTTGATCAGTTATTGTAGATAGCGTTCTCTTATAATTTTTCGCTTTTTTTAATTAGTTTGTTATTGGTATATATGTTTTATATGACAATGTGAACATCCTCTTTAAACAAAAATAGCTGCTTAAAAATAGATTTGTACATACTTGTAAATATTATTCACACATTTAGGAAAATTTTCATGCTCAAATATAATTTTTACAGTTCCTGTACATTGGCTTTGAAAATTACAATGTCACGTGTCATCAACTTTTGGACAGGAAACAAAAAAAAAACTGCAAAAAAATGACACTTAACAGATCGAAAAATGTATATTTTTTAACTGCATACAAATTGTTAAATACGGTTTCATGTGATGAAGAATATCTTGTTATATATTTATATTGGAAGATATTTTCAAGGATATTATAAACGTCATTTCTTAAAAAAAATATACATATATAATATTTGTTTATTAATTCTCATTCTTTAATCAAGAAGAGAATGTTCTAGTAAAAATGACCTGAAATATAAATATCTCTTTTTTGTGATGGATCTACGTTAGGAAAGAACTTTGAGGAAAAGGGATTAAACAATCATGTCCGATAAAGTCAGTTTTGTGCCAGCAATACGAAATTATAAGTCTCTTATAAAATTTTTGATCTTTCAGCTTTTCAGCATAAACATCGAGAACAATAACTAGTAAATCCTTGAGATTAGCCCTTTTTCAAACATTGGGACGATATGGAAATGTTCATTTTCATGAATAATAGATTTGATATTTCAAACAAAATTAATACTTGCCATTTTTTTACGGATAAGAAATTTATGACTTTATCTATCAAAAAACTAACTTATCTGTAGAGCTGTTATAATTGGCCGCGTTCCTAAGGCATGCGTATCATCAACATAAAATAAAGTGAATACAGATTATAGAAAGATTTTTGTCATTGTAACATTGTGAAACACGTAAATTGTTATATGCATCGTTGCCATCGGTTCCACAATCTGGATGGGATCTGTTATAGATCGCATCATCAGGTATATTCCTACCCTTGTTTCAGCGAAATTTATTCGACAATTACTGATCTAATATTTGCATAATTAAAATACTAATCTACTTCTAAACTGGTCCGACATGATAATTTCCACTCGGGGTTATATTTATTCTAGTAGGAATGAAATGTTTTATTATTTACTATATCAAATGCTAGGTTACATGCAATCAGTATCAGAAAATACTGCTCAAACAAAAAAATAATTAGGAAAAAAGTTGCAGGGTTTTGAGTGAACAATCCAACGGTGACCTTCACCATGACCTTGAAGGTCATTTAGAGGTCAAGTTGAAAATTTTAAATGGAACCGTATACTTTTGACCCCGGAAATGGTAAGAGCGGAAAATTTTACGTTCGAAGGTGACCTTGACCATGACCTTCATGGTCATTTAGAGGTCAACAGTGATCGTAGCGGCCGGGAAAACCAGAAACACCGGGAAAAGTCAGGGAATTTGTTCTTCTTCATAAAAAACAGGGAATAGTCAGGGAATTTACACCGGAAATGGTAACAGTATTTCCAGCCTGTCTCCTATCTCCGAAGGTTCTCATCAATGGAAAAATTACCGAGATGTTAGGGTTAAAAGTGAGCAGTCAAACGATGACCTTGACTGTAACTTGGAGGTCGTTTACAGGTCAATTTTAAAACTTTTTGAATCAAACTTTTAGTCCAATATATTAGACCCGTTCCGGGGTCAAAAGTATACGTTTCTATTTAAAATTTTCAACTTGACCTCTAAATGACCTTCAAGATCATGGTCAAGGTCACCGTTGGATTGCTCACTCAAAACCCTGCAACTTTTGTCCTAATCATTTTTTTGTTTGAGCAGTATTTTCTGAGATAGAGGGGGGTTCCAAACTTTTTGAACACCCTGTATACTGTTATACTATTTAATACTTAGTACTTTATGTTTATTAATATTTATTTTAAACGTTTTTATACATATACAAGTATGTACATACTGAATTACATTATTGTTTATATTTTTTAGTAAAAGAAAGTATTGTTCGTTATTTAAATTTCCTTATGACCACATGCACTTGAAATAACACGAGTTGAGTGCCGCTTTGGACAAATTTACTACTGATAAAGCTGTGATGATGACCGGAGTACATAATTTATTATTCCTTGCTTTTTTATTAATTTTATAAAAAAAAAAATAAAAAACCAAACATCACAACAAAGGAAACAGCTTAAATAGGTATTTTTAGAACTCATTATTTTCCTTTACTTTCATAAAATTCTTTTCTATTCCAAATATGTATATGTTAATAATTTCATACCTATACTCGGTGGCCGAAATTATAAAGAGTGACTAATACATAATATAAAAACACTATTACCATAATGCGTATAAAATATAAAATGATTTCTATACGGTTCAATATTATTTATCTTTGTGCCGCTCGCCATGCACATCGGTAGAATCTATAATCGTGTATAGACTGAATTACACTGAACGTCGATCTATATTTTATCTCTGTCTTTTGCACGTGGTAGGGAATAGGGAAATGCTTTTTTAGTGGGTGTAAACGGACTTGATTTGCCCGACCTGAGAAACGTCACGATTGTGACAGCTCTAGTTATTTGTGACTTACTCTTACACTGCTCTTTGTTCATGACAGTGCTGTCAATTTTTTATTCATTTAAATGCTTAATTAATTGATAAGACTCGTCCTTGAAACTTTTATTTGCTAGTTATATTAAGCATATTTACGGAAATTACCAAAATTACTACTTGCGTTTTACTGTAAATGTAACCTGATGGTTGTATATTCATAAGTACAACTTCAAGGATATATACTTTATGAATAGTACCAATTAACGATAGTATGCATAAAAATATAAAACAGTTTTTATTATTTTTTATCGAATAGTGAAATCGTTACTTATAAAACAAACATTTTCTCAGTCTTGTTACTGAAAAATATTAATAATATTGTAGTAATATTGTATTGTATATTGTATATTAATAAAATTGTAAATGAATTATTATTAACCAAACTATTATGTTTCCTTTACCATTAGATGTTAAACAAAGCAATAATTTTGCTAGTAGGTAAATATTTAGAGGTAGTCTATATTTTCATAATAACTTTGTTCAGTGACATGACCATGAAGTTGTTTCATTTGCACACCTAAACTAAAGAAAACATAGGCACAAGTTTTATTGGTTGATAAATAGTAGAAAAGTATATGTTTGTCGCTCTTGAAATGTGTATATATCGATAGTTCTCCCTTCCAGTCAAATTCTAGAATAAATATATAACTATATATTTAAAGTAAAATAACAAATTGAACAAAATGTTTTAAGTTGAAGTTTTCTTTTATGTATGTGCAAATTGACAAGTTCGTATTTATTCATATTCATTTTGTGAGCAAAAAGAGTTTTTTGAAAATTTTGGTATCTGTTTATAATGAGTAATGAACAATTCAGTAACGTTTAAAATTGTGATAGTTGTGATAATATGATTCATGACAAGTGCTGAATAGAATTTTACTTTCATTTTGATTGTGCATTTATCGATTAATAGAACTTCTTAATCTTTAAGAAGTAGAATTAGTATTACATTGCTTATTTTACAATCTTCCTTAATATGTTCTGTTTTGCTTATTTTATAATTATTTTTAATATATGTAATCGTCTAATTATAAGTATACAATACTGTAGAGAATTCCATAATTCAAGGTAACACGCAAGGTATCTTTAAAATATCGGGTCCATAAAAATCTGCAAAATAATAAAAGTAGGTAGTTATGGATAATTTTTCTCGAAAATAGTAGTTATTCTATTTTCAACTAACTGAATATTTAGATATAATATTTATTTAAAGTTTATTATAAGAAATGAACAATTTTTCAAAATCGACAACTTTAGAGTTTATATAAAAAATTAGAAGACTTTTCTAAAGGCATACATATTTTGCTTAACATTCAGTTTAAAGTTTTTAGGGTTGCTGAAAATCAAAGGATGAATGTGGTGATCTCAAATTTGATGTTACAATTATATC